TATATATATATATATAATATGAATTCTCAATTTAATCGCGAGATGATCAAATTGTCGTAAGACATCACGAAGTATATTAATTAACAGCATGGATAGGGTTTGGAAGTTGGGACTGCGTAACAAGGTGAAGGACAAATGATGGAAGAAACTGGTGAAAGACGAGAAATTTTGTCGAGCGTACTTGCGCAAAGTTTATAACGCAATCGTACGCAAGGTGGAGTAAGAGGAGACTCTGGAGGGTAGCCGACTGCCTTGGCATAGGTTTTTAAGCAACACAATGGAGGTGCTCGACACTTAGGGGGCGGAGGAGGTGGCGGACAACAAGGCATTTGCGATATGCAACAAGGATCGCAATCCCCGTTGTAACAGCACATCCCTGGACAAGGTCCTCGTGGACAGCCCAAAGGTGGACATCTGACGTTACACACTTCCGGCTCGGGTTTTCTGTAGAAAATTATCGATTTAAACAGAGGGTGCTTATACGTCTCTCTCTCTCTCTCTTTTTATTTTACATTATTATTTTATTTCGTTTCGTTCGTTTATTTCCTAACGAGAATTTTTGGAAAAAGACTCACCGGCATTCAATTTCGTCGATTATTTCGAGCATCTCGTCCATGTAATTGCGATAGCTGCAGGGATTCATATTTGTTGGAGTATTAATTGATCGTTCACCAGGAATTTCATATATTTTTTGTCGATAAACGATATCGGAAGAGACAAGTTTAGCGCATTTTACTGTCAAACGGAGAAAAACAAAAACATGATCGAACAATATCGATAGTATGAAGTAGTTAGGCCATTTTTTAATGCGTAAAATTAATATAGTAGATGAAACTTCGATAGATGGATAAAGTCGTTCGAATAACAGAAATAAAGCTCACTAGCTTCCTTCATATTCTGTTCTTATTTGTTTAAATAATAAAAAAATTGTAGATGAGGATAATAAAAGTTAGTCAATTATAAGTTCGTATATATGAGCCTTAATTCGTGTAAACGAGTTTTACCGTAACATTTTTTTTAAAGAATATCTTTTCCTGCAAAAGAGTAAAATTAAAAGAAAAGTTCTAATAAACCTTTCATTATACGAGTCTTGAGGAATTTCTATTTTTCTTTATCTAAACAGTGATTAAGTTGGAATGATTCAGAAAGATTCAGAATGATTTGTTCAGAAATATTAAAAAGTTTATGAATGTGAGTCGATTAAAAAATTAGCTTCGTAAAAAATTCTTCGAAAACTGAATTTTCCACTACAACAATCAATAATTTAACAATTCTTTAGATTTTTATTATAAATGTACACCCTCGTTAATTTATGTTATACGCAATAAATACTTTTTACAAGCCAAAGTTAAATGCACACATCTATGATATTGGTAATCGATTGGTAATCGATTTCTGTTATGAAATTCTGTTAACATGTGTTAAATATCAGTTTATATTTTAATGTAAATTTATTATATGTCATTTGACCCACCAAATCATCGCTACATAGTAAAAAAATTCTGAAACTCCAAAGCTTTCAAATTGTGTGATAAAAGAAATTATTGTCTGTTTTGCACCTGTACCGCGGTTTCACAATTAAAAATTACTAGAGACGAAAAGGGAACCAGTTTGTCGGTGGACGATATTCTATTGGCAGATAGCAATTTGCTAATGAAGGCGAAACGACGTAGGACAATGGAAGGGACAGAAGAAAAGTAGCAATTCTAGCAATGAGGATGTGCTTGACGTTGAAAGGGAACAACTGTCCAGGATGAATGACAAAACACTCCTGGCTAGCATCTTCGTTGCTACCCGATTCGTCCACTATTGTCAAACATTGCCTACTACTTTCTCCAAACTTTTGTCTTCTTATAGAAACCCAGTCAAATCATTCGAAAAGAGTAATAAAATATTTTATTCTCAAGAATCTCAGAAAAATTTAAACCACATCCCTTGAGATCTGATCGGATCAATTTGTTTCGTACAAAGGATCTGGTTTACTATAAAGTAATACAAAAAAACTGCACGTACAAAGTCGCAAAATATACGATAAACAAATATTCTTCTAAAAATTCACAAAAGGACCCGTTCAAAAAGAAAAAAAAAAAAACAAGATCAGACTATAAAAACAATCTCAAAAGGAGAACTAAAACAATCTGAAAGATCTGTATTGTTAACTCATCGTCGGGATTTGCGCGTGCCTGTTCGCGACCAAAGTTTCTGGTATCATAATCTGCTGATTGGGCAAGTAATCCTGCTTCCTGGCCAAGTATCTCACACCCCCGATGGTTTTCGATTCGTGAATATCCGGTTGGCCGTAATACATCTTCTCGGGTAGCATCTTGCCCTCCGCCATTTGTCTGTTCATCGAACTAGTCATGTTGCCATGACTAGCGTCGCCGCCAGCATGATCGAAGCTCCCCTTATTTTGCTCTGCCCCCTGACTTGAGCCAACATCGCCTTCGCCGTTGTTTCTCACTAAATTTCTCGTGGCCTGATAATATTGCTGCATCTGCTGATAGTGCTGGGGATAATTTCCATCGAACCTGAACGACATCACGTTCCCACAATTGTGAGGAATGACACTCGTCGAATTCTGTCCCGGGAATTGTTGTTGTCCTGCTGTTGGTAGTTGTTGTTGGACGAGTAATTGTGGCTGGTTCGTGGTCCCGTTTTCTCTCTCAGCTTGCACGTTGCGGTAGTTCCTGGAGATATCCGATTTCTGTCTGGGATATTCCCTTGCATATTCTTGTTCCATCTTCTTCACCAACAACCGTTGAGCTGGAGGGTTGTTCGGATTTCTGGAGTTCTCCAAACCATTTGCAGATATCCTTTTGACAGGCGGCGGCAAAGTAGAGGTTATCAAACGATGCTGAAACTCTGCTTCTGCCTCGCTGTAGTCTTGCATTCCATTCAGCCTCACTATAGGCTTCTTCGGAGCGAAATTTACCAGGTATTGTAGCCTCTTTCTAATCTCCGACGACACTGTATCGTTCTCCAGCATCCTCTTCGCCGCTTCCGGGTCCTGCAGTCCGTTCTGCAACTTCTGCGGCCGGATCTCTTTCTTGTACTGACGTATCTTTGACAGACTATACGGCTCCGTAGACGGCCTGTTGTCATTCGGAAATTGATTGTAAGACTGAACCTGTTCCTGATTTTGCTGAGGAACAGCCTGATAAAACTGCTGATACTGTTGCATAACCTGTGGATTGTAGTACTGCTGATGAGGCTGTTGATGAACATACTGTTGCACGCTTTGCGGGTTGTTCACGTTACTCTTCATCAGTTCATTCATATTGCCAAACCTTGGTATCGCATGAGCTTGAGAATACATGTGATTACAGTTCTGCAAATTCTGCCTCTGTTGTTGCTGCCAGTTAGCCTGTTGCCAGTGTTGTTGACTTGCAACCTGAACGGGAATTTGCTGACCAGACATTTGACTTGCCATCTGTTGACTTTGTTGCTGCTGTTGGATCATCTCCATTTCCCGTTGCTTCTTCCGTTGTTCGTACATTTTCTCGATTTCCACGTAAGACAATCTCGGAGGGGTCAAATGAATCATCCACTCAGGTTTCTCCTCCTGCTCCTTCCTCTTCCGTTTCGTGACCACGGTCTTCGTTACTGGAGGCTCTTCTTGTTGCCGCAGAAGCTCCAAATACTCCAAGTGCTTTCGCTGCTCGTTCAACAGTATCTCGAATTGTCTGCGCATGATATCCATGGGTACGCCTTGTTGCTTCATCGTTGCCAACAGTTTATCTTGGTCGTGGATCATACCGATAGTGAACTTCAAAGGCTTCCTCCTCTGACTTTGAACATCCGGGTGTTTGTCTTGCGGCTGTTGAGGATTGAACTGCTGAAGAGGGACCATTTGCTGACTGGAATTCACGTTCATCTGCTGACTGAAACTCGGCTGATTATACGCATTCAAATTCTGTTGCCTCTGTACAGGATTCCCGTACATCTGAAGCTGATGCACAGGCTGTTGCTGATACAGTGGCAGCAATTGCTGCTGTTGATTCTGTGGTCTGTAGAGCGTCTGGTTGCCATTCACCACATCGACGTTGTAAGGATTCAGTTGCGCCTTGATACTCGAATGCTCGGCCACCTGGCCGTTCGTCATCCATCTGTTCTGTGGATTCATCGCGTAATTCGATTGATTCGGTCCAAGCATACGCGTGTTTCTCATTTGACTTGCCGTTACATCCTGAGGAGAGATCATCCTCTGACTAGGAAAGTAACCTGCCATCTGCTGTTGACTTCCCATCATCTGCATCTGATAACTGTTAGCCTTTTGCTGCATTTGTTGCTGCTGCGCCATGTTCTGCTGCAGCTGCTGGTAAATCTGCTGAGGATTCTGAAGGTTCCTGTACAGCGGCACGTGACTGTCCGACGGACACTGACTATAAACGTTCTGTTGATTAACGTTAGGCGTACTTAACGCGATAGGACTTAGCTGAGAGTCAGGCTGCGCTTGCTGTTTGTCTATCATCATTCGTCTGTAGACTGCCGCGTTTCGACCTCCTATCGGTTGTTTCTCGTAATCGAGATCGTTGGTGCCTATCAGATCCTCGCTCTTTACTTTCCTCTGATCCACGACTGAAACGTTTGTCACTTGCTGCACGTGTGGTTGAGGTGTCATTGGGCCTTGAGGCGGATTAGAGGAAGCTACGTGAGGATTCCTCTGAGGAGAATAGTCACGTGAACCATAAGGTACGAAAGGACGATGAGACTGGACGTTTGAAACTTGTTGAGACAGCATGCTCTCCGAGTGCGGATTCATCTGACCGATCTGATGGATCGCTTGCTGAGGCACAACCTGTTGCTGACTCGCGCTCTGCACACCCTACGAAACGATTAGTTTGTAGTTTAATGCAAGTCCAAGTTCGATCATTTGAGAATTGAATTCTAGCACGGATTAGTATTCCGTCGTTAGCAAATTGAATAGCGAAAGTTGGTTACAGTACGATAGGATCACCTTGCCCAGAAAAATCTTAGCCCATTCAGAATCCAGCAATAATTTATCGTAACGATACAAATACAGAGAATTCTTGAGGTTTTATAAAATTGCAGGATATAAATAATAAATAAGTGAAAATATATTGAACGAATTCTTGGAATTTCCTTTCATAGTTACAATATTGAAAAATGTAATTCGATGATATAAATTATTTAAAAAAAGAAAATTGCAAACGAAATGCTGGTATGACCCTCAATTTTTCATATTTCAACCTTATTTCCATATTGATAAAAGGAAATAAAATCTTTGTATATTTTGTGTACGCAGAAATGCAGTTGGAAATTATCGAAAATGAAATATCCAGTGTGGAATATCCATATTCGTAGGAAAGAAATTCTTTTAATTTTAGTGAGCTTTTTATAACAATCACATTAATTAACATCAATCCTTATTCATCATTACGCTGTACTTTTTCAAGAACATTATTATTATTTAATTCGCGGAAGCCATATTACCGGCGTGTACTGAAAGTGTGACATGATTGAGGCAAAACAAGATGAAATTCCGATAAAAATTCCTGGGTATTATTCGAACAACGAGAGAAAACTTTTGAACGCCAGAGCAACTCACTCAGTTAAATCCTCCATAGCGACATTGATAAAATTACAAAGAGAAAGATCAAAAGTTAATAAAACGTTGACTTACTTGCGATTGTAGATGTTGATGCTGTTGGACAGCTGCAACGTCACCTTGACCATCGTCACGACATTGCTCAGGAAGTCCGGCTACGTACAAAATTCCGGTTTGTCGAGGATCCCGTTGCCCGACCAACGCAGCCATCGGTTTCGGTGAAAAAGGCGGAGGGCTCTCCAACTTTTTGATTTTCTCCGCAGGGAAATATTTCAGTCTCGGCGAGGAACACGACCTAGGCTCTTTGCATCTGTCTTGAGAGTTAAATCTGGTCTTTGGCAAAGAAACGTCCGCAGCTTTGTTAGTTATTTTTGAAGGATCACTAGGATCGACAAGGCCGTGCGTAGATGGCAATTTCTCAGGTTTAAGAGGCTTATGTTGCAAACTACTAACGCTTGGCCGCCTGGACGATGCTTTCTGTCTGCTGCTTTTATCCGCTGAAGTTTTCCTGTAAGAAAAAGATTCTTGTTGTTGTTGTTGTTACGAATGATGTTGAATCGCTTTATAAATTTCAGTCACTTTCAATAAAGAGGTACGTTTTTTATTATCTTGTTAAGAAAATACTGCTGGATTTCAGAACATCTAAATTGAAATAATTATAAATTCGGAGCACAAAACATGTATAAAATAACATATAAAAAAAAAAACATGAACAATTTATAAATTGACCGAAAAGAAAGAAGAAAAATAACCTCTAATTTATCACGGCTTGTCCGTGAGTTTCAAAGAAATACGAGATTTCGTAGGTTGTACCTTTTGTTCATTGTTGTTCGAAATTTTGCGAGAGTTTTGGGAATATTTATATATAGTGGTACATCATTTGCGATAAGCCAGGTAATTTTTTTTCGCTCGGATTTTGCATTACCGCCAGGAGAAATGGGAATGTCTGACAGCTGGATTTTAGCGAAGGTTTAAAAATAGGTCAGGTTGCCATGGACACAGCTTTTGGTTCATTCTTTTAAATTTTAAATTCATATCCTGGCTGAAATGAACCGCGCGCAAGTCAAACCGAACAACTCGATTGAGATTAATCATTTGATTTTTAAATAATTCAACGCTAATCGCGCGTATTTTCGTTAAAATTGTTAAAAACTTCAGAAAAAGATTCGTTCAGTTTGGCTTCCGGTTTATTTGAAGTGTGCGATATTCAAAACGAGTTTTTGTTCATTTGTCCGTCAGACTCGAACGGAGGAAGTACAAAATAAATGAACAGAATCGAAGATAGTTTTACTATTTTTATTAAAGAAGCACACACCAATACGTGACTGTGTATTTCTTAACCTTTCATCGTTTTACTCGCCGCTGTTAATAAAGTAACAATAGATCGTGAGGTAACTTCGAAATTTTCATCTCGAACGTGATACGACAATATCAGTGATTCCGTTGTCGCAACTGTACCAAAACCTTGACAACGTGACTTGATTCATTAAAAAAAAAAAAAAAATCACAGTAGAAAATGAATGGTACCTGCTTTCTATTGCGATCAACGTGATCAAATACTGAAACACATCGTAATCACGTTCGGCTATTTAACGATGATGTCGAAAAATTAACATATTGATAAGTTGAAAAATACGCAGAAAATTCTTCGCTTATTTTTCACTTAATTTAGAAAAAGAGAGGGGGGGAGCGGTAAAATACATGTTCGTGGAACGTAAATATAATTTGCAAATCGAATTAAAATTGTCTAAATTAGGCATTGGGAATCCCAAATTAGAAATTGAGGATTCGTAATAATGAATAGACGTCTTCCTCGATGAAGTATCGATCTCTAGCATAAAAATAGTCTTCGTTAGTTTAATAATTTGTCACTCTTGGGGGCGATCTGATAAGGCAATGTCCAAGTCGATAATTCTCCTATATTCTAAGAACTTCTAATTCGGTTGCGATGATCATCGAATTTCTCAGTCAGAGTAAAAAATTCAGTGCAGGACACATTTGAGTACAGTTCATTCCGAGGTTAGAAATTGGGATCCCTTCGTCGCAAATCAGATGTCACTTTAAAGTCGGTGAATCAATGATAATTTTTGTCTTAATTCGTTTTCTCTGATCAGGATTTCTTCAACGTCGAAGTAGTATCACGTACTCTTATCTTAATCCGCGAAATTTTCATCAACTGTTACCTTTCTTTGTACCTTTAAAAAAAGTAAGAAAAAAAAAA